TCACTTCGTACTTCTTGTTGTCTTCAATCTGACGATTGATCAGCCTCAAAGTACAGCTTGAGACGTCTTGAGACCAAAGACTGTGGTTGAGCATGCAACATGGGTTTACAATACCTATATTTCCTTCGGAGGCAGGCTGCAGGCACACCCAGGTTGTATCGACTTTTCTGACACGCATGAACTTCACTGATCAAACCTTTTCCACCGCCCAGAACTGGATCTGAAATCTGCAAGAGTGTGTGATACTATACACCTTTGACGACTGGGGATAATCATTGATTTGAATATTTGCAACTTGTACACCATGTGCATACGTGCTATGCATGCTTTTGTTGGGGCCATTGGCCTCGCAACTTCAAACCGTGTGTAATTAATGTTTTGGCAGCCTGCCTCAGCGGATCATGAGGATACTTCTGGCTGCGCAAATGCATGAGTTCCAGGCTACATTCTCCACTGCTACTGCATTGATCATCCACTAACAGCGCGTCATCAACAGCCCAAACCTGCCGACTGCCGGGTCTCCATTTTTTGGATGCGTGGTGCAGATCTTCATTTGGGAACTCAGTTGAAGTTCAACCAACACACCTAGGGGGAAACAGGGACCTAGCGGGAACACAAAGGACATCTCTCGGTCCATTCACCCTGGGAGAAGCTGTTCGATTGCCTTGGATCTTCATTGACTAGACTGGACATCTTTGGACTTGCCTGCCCCAGAACGGCGCTGAAGAGTGCAAAAAGGGAGAACACCATGGCAATTTGGTCGAGGTCCAGCAGATTATAGCAGATTCCGCAGTTTTCAGGAGCCAAAGCTGTCAGTGTCACGAGGCAAAGGGATTCCAAACCGGGTCATGACACCTCAAGACTCAGATCTCATGAGTTAGCACAACGGCAGCCCTATAAATTCATGAATGCACAACAAGGTGACAAGCAAGAAACATCATGCAACATCCATCCCCCATGATATTCCCATGGAGGGAGGGGTCTGACGGAGGCATTCTCTAAGGAATCCTGGGGAATGATGAATGCGTTTTCCTTAGGAAATGAGCCTTCCAGCCTCATGAGTAGGAACAAGGACGCTACTAGGAGCAAAGGGCATCGCTACTAGGAGCAAGGGCCTTACTACTAGTAACAAGAAGCTAGTAGAAAAGCCTTCCAGCCTCATGAATCAGGTTTGGCATTCTCTAGTGAGGAAGAACATCTACACTAGAAAAGGCCAAGCACGTGTCTTTTGACCCTGGTTTCGCACATCCATGTTTCTGTCTATGCCTATGCCTTTCCATTTTCTAGGAAAGGCAGATCCTAAATGTTGTGAGTGCTCCAAAGAGCATCCAAAAGCAAAGCTTACTGAGAAAAACAACCGCATAACACAGCAAAACACGATTCATCAAGATTCTCAAGCAATCTCAATTTCTTTTTGACTGATCATGATTCATCATGTTTGCTAGAAAATGAAGAACCCTCTCTAGAAAATCAAGGGACAACAGAATCAAGATAAACAAGGTGATCCTTAGAACATGACCTCGGATCCATGCCCAAGGATCCGGTGTTTCTCATTTTCTAGTGAACCATACTTTTCTTAGAAAATGCATCTGTTTGACCGCTTGGGGGTGTGTTTTCGACCCCTTTGTTGGAAAATGACCGTTTTCTAGAGACGTTGACCCCTCCCATTCTCTAAGCCGAATATCATGGGGGATCAACATCCTCAGCCTTTTGGGATATGGAAAATCAAGACAGTAAAATGACTTGGACACGTTGGAGAATAAAGTAAAGGATATCGCATGATCGCCATTTGAAACGGGCCATCCTGCAAGCTTGCTTGTTGGAAGCTTCGTAGTTTATAAGCAAATTGAAAGGTCTTGCCATCGACACCAGCTCAGTTTCGCCAAGCGGCATTTGGGAAAGTTGTACCAGCAAAGTGCATTTCGCAATGCTGTGAAACCTCAACAACCGAAGCAAACAATTACCTGGAATTGTATAATTATAAGTGGAAGGACTGTGACAGGTGTCACCCAGAACTTGCAAATCAAAAGCAAAAGGCACTGATTAAATTAGCTGGTTGTACCAAGGCTAAGAGGAAAGTCATCAGCTCAACTTCACATGTTCAGCGTCAGTTCTGACTAAATTCCAAACCAAACGCACTGAAGATTTGTGCAATATACTCCCGTCTATCTCAGTCGAACTTGGTTTAGGAGCAATTAAAAACGCCATATATAAAACAACTACGAATTCCCAGCTATATCTGTCCACAGCTGCACCTATGCACCGAGCTTGATATCTTTGTCACTTGGCGTCTGGCACTCTTTGTTTGACCTCGGAAAGTGAGAAAGAACACCTGCTTCCTAAATACGGACCCATGCCGCGAGATGAGGGTAGGATGAACCTGCTTCTTCTGCTGCGTGGACATTATACATTATACAGAAGCAAGCAACACTGATGTCTATAGATGAATTAATTGACATACTTATGTTTGGGTGGTGTGTAAACCTCCGCACCAGTGAAACCAACATCTTGGAACGATGAGACAGCTAAACTGAGACTCTTGCAGCAAGTGGATCTCCACAAACTCTTTTGGAGTGACCTTAAAACACAGGCCCAAAAGTATTGGTGTGCCGCAGCGGCCCAACACATGAGAGCGTGTATATTAGCTAATCCTTTATGGAAAGCACAAAGCACTTCGTCTCAGCTCCTGAGGTTGTGTCCTTGCGTCTAGAGTCTAGCCAAGGGATACCAAAATAAAGCGATTTGTCAAAAGCAATAGAAGTATAGGAAGCTTCCTATATAGGAAGCTTTATTGTACAGTATATTCTATAGCGTGTCAGCGCTACTCAAGGCTCAGCTGTGGGCATTCAACTCCTTGGCCAAACGCTTCTCCACAACCCCCTGCGGCAGTGTTCGGTACCGTGTCTTCAAAGTGGAGGTGGACGAAATGCTCTACGCCTTCTCAGTCTGAGGAGCCAAACATCGCGAAGAAGGTGTGTATTGGGCAAATGACAAATGCTTCTGGTGTACCATACCCCATTGAGCTGCTCTCCAGAAGCCTTCACTAGTCAAAAACATTCAAACATATCATATTACTGTAGGTTGCCTCATTGGTGCAAGCTCGGGCTTGAAAAGGTCATCAGCATCTCGGCTCAAAATCTGCAAGTGTTAGGCAGTTCACCTCCAGGTTCAACAGTTCCACAACTCCTTCTGGCGAATCACAACAGCATCCACGGACCATCCAACTCACTTGCAATACGACCCAATACGATGCCTTGAAAAGGCGTGAGAGCATCGCATCCTTCTTGGTGGCATTCCAGTCAGGCCAAAGAGGTTGATGGGCAGGAATCTTGGAAGAAATCACATGCGGCACTCTTTGCACTCGTGACTCGTGTCCAGTGTAGTTGCACAACATTGCACAACGGCACTAACGCAGAAGAATGAATAATCCGGTCAGGGTTGCACAAATTTGGGCTGTCCGGAAACGTTATTCCTGCGATACTGAGACTGTAGCATTCGTACCCTGCTAGCTGAGCCCCAGACGCAGGCACGGTACTGGACCACATCTCTGCAAAAGGTCAGCTGATTCTGGACCACTCCTACCTGCAAAGTTGCGCAAAAAGAGACTGCAATCTCAACCACCTTTAGCAGCCACCGTCGAGTCAAAGGGTGTTGTCAAAAAATGTTAAATCACGCATCCCTGTGGGTCCCTGCTGGTCCCTGCTTCCTCAGGTCATCTGGTGGATTCCCGCCATTGTCATTCCAGCCAGCGTATGATTTCAAGATTGTCAAGGTCTGTTCACCATGCGGCCGGACCCATCTGCGACATGTGGATAAGCTTCATTGTGACCTTGTTTGGAAGATGCCTGGGGAAGTGTTTAGAAGACTGGGTGGGAAAATCAAATATATATAGAAAGCTGTCCACGGGCAGGAACGAAGGACAATGTTCAACCATCAACGAGAATATAGTTTGCTTCGTTCCGCACAGCTCTGTCATCCAAGTTTCAAGCAAGGATGGCCAAGCCGTTGCTCTCCAAATTGTGTGGACAGGATCCGCAAATCAAGTCCACCCGACCATGAATGACCTCTTGATGATGTGAGGCAACCTCTTATGACTTGGAACATGTTCTGGGAGGGGCCGCACGGGGGCACAAACCGAAAGAAATCACATCCCGCGTCTTTCTGTTTGCTCGGCCCAGCGACCATCATATGAATCATAGAATTAGAAACAAGTGCATCGCTACTAGTAACAAGTGCCTTACTAGTAGTAACAATAAGCTACTAGTAACAAGTGCATCGCTTCTAGTGACAAGTGCCTTACTAATAGTAACAATAAGCTATTAGAAACAATAAGCTACTAGTAACAAGTGCATCGCTTCTAGTAACAAGTGCCTTACTAGTAGTAACAATAAGCTATTTGAAACCATGGGAGTAGCGTCACGTTCGTGTGTGCGGTCCTTTTCTTGAGCCAAACGTTGTGGCGGTTTTGTCGCCAAGTTTGTTGTGGGTCTCACGTGGTCCATGCTTGACGACTCACGCTCCCCCTTGCGATCTATGTCGCAACTCTAACTCGGTCCTTGACCAAGAAAAAGCTGAATCCGCACCATTTGCCGTGCAGATTTGGCAAACCATCCTTGTGCCATTCGGCATCTACATAGATCAGCCGCTCAGAAAACTTCATGGTGTTCTGGTTGAGCAGCCAGGCCACCGTCACCCTGAGATACTCGAGGTCCCTCATGTCCTCAGGTGTGGATCGATGCTCTGGGTGAAATCTCTGCACCCTCAAACTGTGCCGTCGGACCATCCACGTTTCCAGCGGCAAGCGAAGATAGTCCCAAGCGTCTGTCCTTGGAACTGGTCGAAACTTCGTGGCTTCTTCATCCACCAGTCGCTGCACCTTGTCAAAGAGCTCCTGGTTCCACCAAAGCGATGGCTGAATCACCAAGGTGTCTCCTTCGTCTCCCACCGGTGGAACCAACCGAGGCACCTGAGGCCAATGTGGCCGATCCCATGGTGAAGGATAAGCTCGATGTGGGTCATCTCGAGGCCCTTCTGATGGATGCGGAAGAGGTCCAGGCTTTGGTGCCACCACCCAAGGAGGATATGCTTCTGGCCACGCCGATCCCACTCGAGCAGGTCGTTTGGACACCTCCTGGCCTGAGCACGAAGACGAACCTTTGGATGTAGTTCCCATCGCCGCTGCCCCCCGCGCCGCCGCCTTGCCCCCAGAGTCGTCCATCGGCCCTGGTGGCGGGCTTTTCCGTGGATAGTACCCGGCCTTCAAGCCCTCGATGGTTTCATTGACATGTTGCACATACTTCGGCAGCACAGGTGGAGATTTCGGCAATGGACCCGGCACCCCTTGCACATACTTCGGCAGCACCGGCGGAGACTTCACGGGCGGGCTGTCTTCCCGAACCGCTTTCGATCCCCTTTGCTGTCCAGTCGTTGTCGACGAAGACGACGAGGCAGCCGCCCCCATGTATCCGGACTCCTCAACCTCGCTAGCCCGGCCAAAACGAAGCTGCAGCTTTCCCCAAATGCCATGGCGAGCGCTCGCGGCTTCGAGTTCGACGATGTTGGGAGCCTCTAGGCTACCCAGAGCATCCTCGATTGAAAAAAATCAAGTGCACGATTGAAAAAAACAAATTTCAAGTGTCGATTGAAACTTGAATTTTATGACACTTTTTCAAGTGGAGGCATGTTCTTGTCGATTGAAAATGCGATTGAAAAACACAGATTTTTCGATTGAAAAATCGATTGAAAATTCGATTGAAATTTGAGAAGGAATATAGTCCTTTTTGTAGCTTTAAAACTTGAAGTTTTTTGACT